TGAAGATTTGTTACCTCAAACTTGTTTGTTGATGATTATGGATGCAAATGGTGAAGAAACCCCCAAAAATTTCACTCCAATTCGGCCTCAAATGAAGAGTTCAAAAATGTGAAACCCTTGTTCTTGAGTTGCTCATATCCGAATTAAAACTTGTTTTTGAAAGAATTTAAACTATGGAATCAACTCTTAAGAGAAAGGGGAGTATTTTGGTGTATTTAGTTTGGAGATTGGATGTTGAAAAGATGGATTTTAGGAGTAGTGTGTGTGAAGGTTGAAGAAGGAAGTAAGGAAGACAATGAGGAATCCGTGCGCAGATTCCTCTTTGTTTGCAATACTAGCCAGAATCCGGCCAGTTTCCAGCCGGATTGTCGGGCGGGTTCTGGCCGGATTTTCGGCCGGATTTTGGCCAGTGAGCTAGAAACTTTCATTTTTAACTCCTCTGTGTATCCGGCCATTTTGTGGCCCGGATTTTAGGCCGGATTGCTGTAGTAATTTTTGATTTCTACAGTTTTTCCTTCCGTTTTCCATTCAACCAAGTTTTTAACTCTCCATGTTTTCCACTTATTTCATTTTCTTCAAGAAAAATTGCACTTTAAAGGTGAAAAATGCTCTTTTTCAACCAATTGCCTTTCGAGAGATGAAATCATGCATTAATATAACCTTAGCATAAAGCACTTTAAATGCATGAATTAGATCAAATGAACAAGAAAACTCCCTTTTTGCTTCCTTATAAGCTCTTTTGCACTTGAAACAAATTGCATAAACCATTGCCATTGCCACTTATAAAACACACAAAAACACTAATTAAACACTTAAACTTACTAAAAACAAGAAATCGTTAGGTTGCCTCCCAACTAGCGCTTCTTTATAGTCATTAACTTGACTATATCACCTCATTTTTCAAAGAGGCTTAGTTAACGAATAATCCACCATTTTTGGACGTGGTGGATCATTAAATGGTGACTTTATAGCAAAAGCCACATGATCTAATGATGTGAGAAATGGAAGTGACTTACCTAACTCAAGTGAATCGTAGATATTACCTTGAACATACACCATTTGAGCACTCACCAAAGGAACATCTACGTAGCTTTCTTGGACTATAATACCTTTAGAACCTACAATTAACACGTTCCTCAAGAGGGGTGAAAAATGAGTCGTTAAGGCTCACCTCTTGCGGTTCAATGTTAGCTCCAAGGGTACTATCCTGTGAAATGGACATTTCCTCATTGAAAGATAAGTTAGATTCATCATTTTGATCAAAATTTATTCCATTGTCACATACAACATTTCCACCATTCATAATAGGGCCATTTTGCATATCATTAGAGGAAATAACTTCACACAATGCATATAATTGGTCATGTATTCTACTAAAGTGAGAAACTAATTCATCTATTCTTTCCTCAATCCTATCAAAACGGTCGGAAGTTGCATTTGCTAGCTTTTCTATTGCTAAATCAAATTGATTAGAAAAATTTTCTACAGCTAGCTCCCAAGATGCATTAGAATCATTAGATAATGGTTCACTTTCTAACTCCCAAGGTCGAGGTGCATTAGCTAACTTCTCTATTGCCAACTCCCAAGATGGTTTTGATTCATATTGGACACTTTCAGGTTGGTAATCATAAAAATATGAATAATCACTATAAGTACATTGATTATTCCAACCATAAGCAGGAGAATTACTCCAATTAATACTATATCGATCAAAACAGGGATTATAATATTCTAATTCATCATAATAATCCACATTTTGTACTTGCATACATGTATTAGTAGCATGATAACCTGCACACAAGTCACTAATCACATGATAAGAATTAAAAGCATTAACATTCCTCCCTTGCTCAATTTCATGCATAATTGTGTCCATTTGAAATTGTTGCATCATAACATCAAATTTAGCCTTTAAGCACCTTAAACCATCTTCAAAAGACATACATTCACTAAATTCTTGGTTACCTCTTTTGAAGGAGTTTTGCACTTGGTAACCATCCATTGCCAATCTTCCACTTCTCAAGCATTGTCCTCCAAATTGACTTACCCTCCTCATCACCTAAAATTACTTTTAAACAACTTAAGAGTAAAATTAGTAAGAAGAATAGGTGATAAAACACATACACATATAAAACACTAAAATAACAGAAAATAACATTTATAGTATAACTAATAATATGTCTAAACTAATAAAGTTACTCTTCACACCGATATTGCCAAATCTTCCCCGACAACGGCACCAAAAACTTGACGGGCTTTTTATATACGTGCAAGTTAAAAAAACCGAATTATACCCGTTCACTTCAAGTATACAGGTCAACTAGTAGTTTAGGATATATATTGGGTCGATCCCACAGGGAAGAGTGAATAATTACCGGTATTACTAAATCTTCTCTATTATTTAGACTACCAATGAATTATAACAAATTTAACCTACTGAAATTATACAAAATAACAAATAAAAACTCCTTAGGTTGTGGTATCCCTAACTACTCATGCATTGAATACTACATCTATGCTAGTTATGGTGTAATTTCCTTATGCATGTAAATCCTACTTTCGTAGTGAATCAATTATACATATAACTAATGCATACCTATTCTCATGGTTATGAAATTAGTTACAAGTTCATTTCTGCAGTGAAATTACATGAAATGAATCACTAAAAACCACATAGGTGCACCTCTACTTTCGTGAGTGTACTCCCTATGTTTAGCACTTCTTGAACTAGTGTTAAATCTTAATTTTCATTGCAGAAACAACGTCTTAGATAATCACAATCAATGGTACCAGATTAATCATGATTTAAAGAGCCAAAGTGCTAAATAACTTGCTCAAATCATAACAATCAAATAACCAAATAATAAACACTAACAATTATAGAAAGTTCAACCAAACCCAAGACATAAACTTTAGAGACACATATTGAACACAAAATCCAGAACTTGCATATCAACTAAACTTAGAATCCAATACAAAACATAAAGAGTTGGAAAAGAGATAACCCTTGTCACATGAGCTTCAACTCCTTCTTCTTCATCTCCATTTTCATCATAATCTAGCTAATATACAATAATGGAAGAGCTACACTATTCTAAACTAAACTATCCTACTACTCAGAAAGTGCAAGAGCTACATCTCTGCACTCCAAGTTTCTCCCGTATGTCTCTCTATTCTCCCTTCAATCTTTCAAGTTTTGGTTATATAAAGATGAAAGAAGTCAAGAAAATGAGGCCTACACCACCCTTGTACAGCTGCAAAGTAGTTCTCACATGTCTGGCATTGCATGTGACTTGTTGGAGGTGAAAATAAGTTTTTCATGTAAAGAGAAGCCTTTTCTAACCACAATCTGGCCACAAATCCAGCCACAAATCCGGCCAAGTTCCGGCCGGTTTGCTACAGTGACATTTTGGTGCATTTTTGTTCAATTTCCAGCTCTGCTCCGATTTTGTGTCAGCTTCAACTGAACTTTTCTTGATGATAAAAGCTGATTTAGCTATTGACCAAAACATAAAACTTGTAGCCCTTTGAGTTAAATTTCCAATGCATCAAGAATCACCTCATTTAGATCTGTGTAGGCAGAGAAATGACCGAAATACCCTTGACTGCTCACTGCCCTGTTTCAGCTTCGACCAATAGAAATTAGCTACTGTAATTCGGCTTTTTGACCTGGAAAACCTTCAAACTGGATTCAGATGTCTTCACCAAAGTTGTAGATCTATCTCTTATCTTCAAATTGATTTAAGAATCATATCAATCTGATTATTGTAACTCAAGTTATAGCCAAAATACGAAAATGTGGCAAAACTGTCAAAATACACAAAATCTAAGTAAAAAGTGATAAAAACCTCATTTAACCACTTAAAAGCATTTTTCACCAATTATATCCAAAATGATTCTTTTTCTTCCAATAATATACCCAAAGTGACTAAAAATAATATAAAAAGTCATACAATTATTACGTAAATTAGTCACTTATCACACACACGCACACACACACACATATACACACACACACACATGAATATGTAAATATTTGTATGCATGGATACATGCATAACTAATAAGTTAGAAGTAGAAGTAAACTTTGAATATATATGTACACATGAACATGCAAGCAATTATAAAACGAATAATGATAACCACTTCGACATGTGATTTCTGATGTAAACTAAGCTAAACATTTATTCTATAAAACAGGAGGAAAAAAAATTGAGTTCAAATATCTGCAACTTACTTATAATGTCAACATCAAATTCACAGAATTGGAACATATCTAAAGTTTATAGATACTTCCACGTCTGAGTTTCGATGTTCATTTTGTATGCTACCACTATAGAAATTATGCTTTCATGAGTTTATAGTATGATTTTTGAAATATAATAATCATGCATAGCATGTTACTAACGGTTGTAATCCAATTAGATTGTTAAGTTTTTTTTGACGCAGATCTAAACGAGAAAAGGACAATTTTATAGACTCAAAAATCCATTAACAATAGAAGAACAAAAGCTAAAAATTGAAAAAAAAAATATTTGGAAGCTAACTTGTAAAAATTAAGAAAAAACATATGTATGTTATGCAGTCAGGGTTTTCGAACCAGTTTTATAGCATAAATGATAAAAGTGGTTCGGAAATGGTTCCTAATTTTTCTGATCCTTTATGGCATGTTATGCATGTTTTCATTTAGTACCTTGATGGATGGACCCCTATCTATAATGATCCCAAATTTCAAAACACCATTTGGCTCTCTTCTCTCAGAATTTTGTGGCCAAGAATAGATAAATGTTTCCTTGAGCCAATCAAGGCTATCCTTGTTTTTTTCTGGCTAGTGTCTCAACCCTACCTTTCTTCTCTCGTTATGACTTTTCCTGCCAATTAGTGTTAAAGTTGGCAATTTCCTTAGGACTTAAATTTGGCAATTTGTTTATGACTTTTCCTGCCAATGTTAAATTTTTCAACTATATAAGAACAGACACTGGCAAGAATCTTACACCATATTCTCGTTGATAACAAACACCTCTCTTTCAATAGCAAACCATGCAGGAAAACACAACAGCTTCTCCGACTCCAAAACAAACACAAAAATCTAGCAAAGCAAATGAAAAGGGTTTTTCCCTCTTCACCCTTTTCAAGTTTGCTGATGGAGTTGACATATTCTTGATGGTTTTTGGGTCAATCTACGCCATTGCAAATGGACTAGCACAACCTGTTATGGCACTCCTATTCGGTGGTGTTGTTGACACTTTTAGCACTGCAGATTACCAGCATATGCCTCAAGATATATTGCGGGTAATTTAGATGCTTTCAATTAGTTTTTTTTTTTGACAAATTTGGATTTCGGATATTTTATTTGCATGTAACTGGCGGCCTGATTAAATCAATGTTACGAAATATGGGGAAAAAAACGTTTTCTTAACAAGTTATCTTGTGCTTTAATTCTTGCTTATTCCTTAATTTGTACGTTCAGTCTATTTAAAATGATAAAAGAGTGTTAACTTTTATTTCTTGAGCTGCTTTTTAGTACTACACTTAAACATTTCAAAACTTTATATATAGTCAAAACATGATGACCAATGTTTTGAACTACATTTTTATTAGTCATGCTATTTTTAGAAAACATAATAAGCAAAGTGGCCATATATAATTCATGAAGTAATCCTTTTAGCATTGATGGTGTAAAGATTAGTTTACACTAACAGGTTTGAACACGCAACACATATGGAAAAAAGAGAATTCTACATTTAAATGGAGGTCATCTATCACATATCCAAACCTAAACTCTGACAATGGAATAAGTACTATATGTAAGATTAATCCTTCACGTATTTTAGATATGCCAAAGTACCGTTTCTGTTTTTGTTTTTATTAAGGACCACATCTCTATCTGTATTACTTGAAGTTTTTGTATCAATCATGGAAGAGAAAATATTCGTTCATTATCTCTCCAATCTAACGTTATTTTGAATCAAGGCCTCACAAGTTGGGTTCTATCTAGTTCAATGTGGCTGATATAATTCTTATAAATTTTGGTATAAATTCATACAACTTAGATATAAAATTGAATTTGTTAACTAGTACAACTAAGTTCACCGTTAAACCAAAACTCTGAGAATTGCTCGAACCAATTTGAACTACACAGACTATAACTTGTAAGGCTCTTCATCCCATCCTCCCGCCCTTCCCGAAGCCATGTGCAAGATTATCCACAAGTACATCTTAAGGGAAGATTAATTCATTGCCTTCTTCAACGTTTTCTATTTATTTTTGTTCTCTTATTGCTACATGAAAGTTGAATTTCATTAGGGAAAAAATAGTCCGAATCTCCTGCTGGAATGATTTGAAAGATTCATAACTTAAAATAATGATATTTGCTAACAAAAAAACATCTGAGTAAGAAAAGAAACAAAATCTTTGTCTAAAGAAATGCGTCGAGAAAGATAGTAGCCCCTTCGCAGCCTCTAGATTTGCTCAAGGACATTAGTCCAGTCACAAGTTGAATTATTATGTCTCTATCACGACCCAAAAACTCGTGTAAGTTGACCAAAAACTATACACGAAAATTGTGTGCACAAGTAATCTTTAGTTTTTAGTTAGTTTTAATTGATGAAGCATGCTATTGAGCTTCCTTTTTCACTTCTCTTTCCCCTCTTATGAAAATCAAGTTTAAAAAATTCAGCAAACCCACAAAGAGGCAAAAGGGAATACTTCATTATTTACTCAATAAGGCTTATATATATATATATATCAAAGCCTTATTGAGTGATAGTGAAGTTATTCCCTTTTGCCTCTTTGTTGTTTTATTGAATTTTTTTATTTCTGTGGGTTTATATATATAATTTTTAATTACAACAAAAATATTCATTGATTTTAATTATATTATTACTTCATTTTATACACTATCTATATTTAAGTCCCCTTATATATTCTCTTTTCTAAATTTACTGGGTTTTGAAGTTCATATCGTTGTTAAATTTAAAAATGAAAATCATTCTCTCTATTTGAATTTAAAAACTTTAAAAAATTTATTCTTGAAATAATTTCCATAATGAACTTTAAGTATATCCGAAATTCTTGTAAATGATAACAATCATAAATTTTTAATTGTTTGAGGATCAATATAGATTAAAAAAAATGTGTTAAATTTTGGCGAAGGCAAATAATAATTAATTTTTGGAATCTTTGAATTTTCTAAACCTTAAAACTAATTTTGTCAAAGTAACGTGCGGGCATTTGCATCCACTTGGATGCACGTAGCTGTGCTCATGATTAGGACTACATCACATCAAGCTCACAGCCAAACTAATAACAGCAAAACCTATGTAACCAACCATACATATTAAGACACATGGAACACTATCTAAACAAAACAAACAAATACTAAAGCTTCAATTATTATTTTTCTAACATTCACCAAGTAAACCGAATAGGTCAAGATACAAGTGTTTATCCAAGGTTCTAGTCACGATACATGCATTTAATGAAGTTTACATCTTTGGCATTTGCAGGTATCTATCAAGCTACTATACTTGGCTGCTGGAGCAGGGATTGCTGCACAAATGCGTAGGTGTCACTATAGTTTTCAGTTCTGTTATTAACTAATAAGTTTGCATGATGGGAATGCAATACATAGAACTAGAAGCTAAGGATTTGGATGGTTTGATCTCGCTAATCCTAATCAATTGTATTGGTTAGACAGTTGTTAATCAAAGCCTACCCTTTTTAACCGAGAGATCAAGTTGATTTTAGAGAAGATGGTTCGACCCGATAGGAAGGATTGGAGTATGAGACTTGAAGATGCTTTATGGGCATATAGAACGGCGTATAAGATGCCAATCGACATGCCTCCTTATCGTTTGGTATTTGGAAAGCCATGTCACCTCCCCGTCGAGTTCGAACATAGAGCATTTTGGGCGGTTAGGCAATGCAATATGGACATCGAAGAGGGCAGAATTCAAAGGAAATTACAGTTACAAGAATTGGAGGAGATTCGAAATGAAACCTACGAGAATGCTGTGATTTATAAGTAGAAAAATAAGATATTTCATGACCAGCAGGTCTCTAGGAAGACGTTTGAATAAGGGCAAAAAGTTCTACTGTACCACTCGAAATTGAAGTTATTTCCAGGTAAGTTACATTCTCGTTGAATCGGTCCCTTCGTTGTAACTAATGTCTTTGATTATGGTGCAGTGGAGATCCAGAGTTTAAGGACGGAGAAGAAATTTGTGATGAATGGTCATCGTCTCAAGCCATATTATGATGGGGCTCCAGTTGAACGGGTGGAGACGATGCATTTGAGGACCCAATTTGCTTGGTTTAAGCAAATTATGGGTTATGTCTAACCAAAGACACTAAAGAAAGGCGCTCTTTTGGGAAGCAACCCGAATATTGGTTTTATTGTTTTTAGTTATTTATTTCTTTCGTTTTGTCGTTTCCCCGTTGGGTAGTATCAATGTTAATATTTCCTCCACTGTGACCAGGAAGTGAAATCTTGGTGTGCCCACGCGATGTTTGTATCTCCTGAGATCAATGGATGTTTTGTAATCTTGGCGTGCCCACGCGGTGTTCGACGACCCAAAACATGAACTCAAAAAAAATTTGTTTTTTATTATTTATTATTATTATTATTATTACTCTCATTAAAAGAAAAAGAAAAGATTATTTTCTTTTTAAACCTTAAAAATTTTTTTTTAAATTTTGTAATAAAAAGAAAAAAAAATTTTTAAAAAGACAAATTTCAAATTTGGACAATTTATGTTAGAATAATTTTTGAAAAAAAAAATACACGAAGAAGAAAAAAAAATCTATTTTATTTTTTACTTTTCTCTTTTTTTCTTTTTCTTCTTTTCTTCTTTCTTTCCTTGTTTACTTTCTTTTTCTTTCTTCCCTTTCCTTTTCTTTTTCTTCTCCGCCGCTCCCCTGCTTTTCCCTTTTTCCTTCTTTTCCTTCGTTCGTCCGCCGCCGCTGCCCACGCTCCTCATCTCCTTCTCGCGCGCAGCCAGCGCGCTTCCAGCTCACCCACGCAGCTCCTCCTCCTCTTCACGGCCATCAACTCTCCACCAACGCCGTTGCCCACCCCAGCTTTCCTCTCTCCCTCGCGCGCCACCAGGAGCTGCCGCGAGCCCGCGTGCCCTCCGTACCTCTGCCGCGCCTCTCTCTAGCGTTCATCTCTCTCCCTCCAAGCTCCAGCTCGCGCGGCTGTTGCTAGCTCCGCCTCGCCACTGCTGCCCGCTGCGCGCCCAAGGCGGGCGCCGCCCCTCTCTCACTCCGCTTCACGGCCATCAACGAGCTCTACCACCTCCACTACTGTCTGCCACCAGTTCCACCTGTCGCGCCCCTCTTTCGGCCCATCTCCTCCAGCGTGACAGCTCACCACCAGCTCGCGGCCAAGCCGCACTCCTACGGCCAGATTCTCCTCCGCGCACGTCGCCAGGAGCTCCGTCGCGCGCCTTTCTCCCTACCGCTCTCCATCCAGTAGCCGCCACCCAAGGGCACAGCTCCTCCTCGTACGCCTCACCTCAATTCGCGTGCGCCAATAGCTCCTCCTCCCCTGCGAACCTTTCTGTCTAGCTATGCCGTCACCACTTGTCGATTTCTGACAGGTGGAGGTATTGTAATTTATTCTCCAATTAGCTTAAATTTCTGAAATTTGCGTCTGGGTTTCTTGAGGGATTAAAGAAGGTGGTAATTTGGGCAATTTCTGAGTTTAATTTCCAGGGTGCAATTACGTTTATTTGCTGCTTCGTTTGGGGGTATTTTCTAGCATCGATTACATTGTTGAGTTGGCCATTTGCTTTAATTTTTTTCATGCGACTTACCAGTGGTACTGGTTGAGATCTTTTGCCTATCGTTGTTGCTTCTATTTGAAGATGTTTGTTTTAAAGTTTAAGTTCTTGTGGCATTTGCAGGTATTTGGCATTTGCAGGTATCTATCAAGCTACTATACTTGGCTGCTGGAGCACGGATTGCTGCACAAATGCGTAGGTGTCACTATAATTTTCAGTTCTGTTATTAACTAATAAGTTTGCATGATGGGAATGCAATACATAGAACTAGAAGCTAGGGATTTGGATGGTTTGATCTCGCTAATCCTAATCAATTGTATCGGTTAGACAGTTGTTAATCAAAGCCTGCCCTTTTTAACAGGTTCACTGAAGAGGGTCTAGTATACGTAGTAATCGATCTAAATACGTGTTTAATCTATTGTTTTTGAAAAAAAGGACATAAAATTTATTAACAATTGAAGACAAATAGTACTATCCGGTACTATTGGAATAAATATTCATTAAAAACATGCATCGTGACTGGAATTTGATTTCAAATTTTAATTCATAACATAAATTTTAGTCCCATTTCGTGTACAAGTATTACATACAGATAAAATCATGAAAATCAGATTAATTTGATTTGGTAATGTGCTTAAATATGGTTTACTTCACTTAGAGAGGAGCCAAATAATCTGTATTAACTTGCAGGGAATCAGGGAAAATCTTGCAAAGAATACCAATTAACCATTTTTATGCCGAAATCCAGTTTCTAATGTTTGTTTTACTTCAACTTCTGATTTTTGTAACTTGTGTTGTTTGGCTACAATTTCTTTTGCCATCTTCTTTGTTGTCTAATATACAGTTAATGATCTTTAAATTTACCACGCTCTAAAATAACACACTAGTACTTTTCCATTTTCATCTTTTTTTCACTATTAAGGCAGGTCATAGCATTGATCACTTCGATTAATGCAGGAACATATTGTTAACCTCTAGATGAACTATATGCATTCTTTGCTGATTTTGTTGCAGGGGTCTCATGCTGGACCATCACAGGAGAAAGACAAGCTTCTAGATTACAAGGCTTGTACTTTGAAACATTGTTAAGACAAGAAATTGGATATTTTGACACCGAAATGACAGTGGGACAAGCCCTTGGGATGGCTTCAAGTAATGCTATAACCATTCAAGATGCAATGAGTGAAGAGGTAATAATTCATTCTATCCCTCAAGAAGTTCTAATCAATTTCAAGTTATATAAATATTGAATTTCTCCTCTTATTCCCTTCACTTATTCCTGGACTTGCTTGACAATTCATTTTATTAGGATCCAAGCGTGCAACACACAACTATTGAGATATTAAGTATATAACAATTTAGACAAACAAGTCACAAGTATGAAAGATAAACGACACATATATAATATTTAATGTGGTTGGGCTCCACCATTGAGCCTACGTCTACGGAGAGAAACTCGTTCTTTATTATGAGAGAAAAACCCTATACAAGAATACAACTTGAATCCAAACCCAACGTTTGTATACCATCTCTCATCTCTCAAGAACCTTTTCTTACCACCCCATGTATAAGGTTACATGTTGCCCTTTTGTATGCCCCTTGTGTCTTCTTGTATGTCTCTTGTATGGTATGCCAACCCACCTATTTATAGATAACATTATTTGGCCAAAAGTCAAATAACAATAGGAAATCAATTCTAATTCCTAAACTTACATAGAATAGGAAATAACTTCTAATCCTAAACTAAATAGAATATTCCTTGGCTACTACTTCAAGTAACTAAAACCAATTAGGAAACTAGTTACTTCCACACAAAACAAAAATTCTACCTAAAAGAAATTAAGCCAATTTCTTAACAAATCTCCACCTTGGCGAAAATTTCTTTTAGCAACCATTTGCCTTCAACTACCAAATAATATGGTACCGAACTACACACCCGAATCAATACAGTCCTGACACCAAATTGATTCAACCGGAAAACGAACATGTGTAGTTACCCCGAATCCAACTTCCAGTTGACTAGTGAGAAGGTGCCTCAATTCACCATATCTCTTTGTAGGATTTCTTCTCACTACCACTTGTAATCTGAGATCCTCTTTTGTGAGCTCTAACCCTAACCATTGAAGTAACCAAGTGGTAAAATTATCATACTTCTTCTCATCTTTAGGACTGTCTCGCCACGTGTGGTTTCCAAGATTCTACCTAAAACGAAAAACTCGTAACTGTCAGAGTCTTCTAGCACATGAAAATTAGATCTCCTTATTTCTTTGGAACACGTGCCGCACCACTCAAAAAATATAATCGAAATCTAAAAATCACTGGGATGAAGTATCAACCATTGGAGGTGTGAGAAAGTCTCCAACGATTCACGTCCAAAATCAACATTGGACTCTACCTTTTCCTTGATCCTTGAATTACCTACCTAGATTCACTGTCAAGTATCTCCATGCTTTTTGACTTTCCATTCTTCACCATCAATGCTTTTTATCAAGTCATTGAAACAAGGATACCACTCATTAAATTGTTCAATTAGTAATAACTACCAATCCAATTGATCTTAATAGTTAACTAGGATTTAACCACGAACTTTGCTCTATTGTCCAGTCTCACAACTTGAAGTTCTGATACCACTTGTTAGGATCTAGACGCGGAATAAACAATTATTGAGATGTCAAGTGCATAACAATTTAATGAGAAACAAGCCATAAGTATGAAAGATAAATGACATATAATATTTAACGCGGTTTGGCTCCATCATTGAACTTACGTCCACGGATAGAAACTCGTTCTTTATTATGAGAGGAAAATCCTATACAAGAATACAACTTGAACCCAAATCCAACCCTTGTATACCATCTCTCATTGTTCAAGAACCCTCTGTAGACACCAAATTTTGGTACGATTTATTTATTTTTGTTCATGCTAGTTATTCTTTTTATTTTCTTTAGTCGTTTACTTGTTTTATTTTTTTAATTATTTTTAGTCTTTTTAATGTAGAATTTCAAAAAAAAAAGAAAATATGTTTTAGTTGTTTTAAAATTCAATTTTTGTCTTGGAAAAAGAAAAAAAAAGGAAAGGGAAGAAAATTGTTCACAAAATATGTTTATTTTTTTTAAAATTCAATCTTTTGACTTTATTTATTTTTTGGTTAGGTTATTTCGAAAACAAAAGAAAAGGAAAAAATGAAAATGAAAAATGGAAATTTGCATTTTTTGTTGTTTTTAGTTTATTTTTATCTAATGTTAATTAAGTTGTTTTCATCATTAATTATTATTGTTTTATTATTATCATTTTTGTTGTTTAATTAATTAATTAATTAATTTTAAAAAAAAAAAAGAAAAAAAAAAGAAAAATCAAAAATCACAATTCCATTTCTGCCGGACTGCATTCCCTTTTATCCTCTCAAACACTCTACCTCCCGGATCCGCCACTCATTTTCCATTCCACTACCTCAGCTCACAACAAGATTTCCCTGCCTTGGTATCATCGACAAGGGGAACCAGAGAGAGAGCCATGCGAGTGGTGAGCTGCAACTTCCCTGTTCTGTCCGAGAGTGCGTGAGAGAGGAGATAACCGTGCAAGCTTCATCATTTACTTCATCACTCGAAAGCTGCGGTGTCATTCTTCACCTTCAACCATCCGTGATCAATATAACCACAATCACCACAGCTGCAACTACTGAACTCAGACCAACCAACCCTGCGTGCGTGAGCAAAGCCGAGAGGAGGAAAATTTTGCAGCTGCTTGTCGTGTGAGCTAAGTCTTAAGCTGAGGTAAATTTCTGGACTTAAACTAGTTGTTTATGGGTTGATGAAGCTGTTTATAAGCATGCATGTGGGGTTGTACGGTTGGATGATGAACTAAGTTACAAGAAAATCTGATTTTTGAAGGAATTGGAACTGTCCGATTGCTTGAGCTGGAAATTTCAGCTTTAACTTACTAAGTTGTGATGATCTGAGCTTAATTGTATGTTTAGCTAATTAGCAGCTGGATGATTGAGCTTTGCATGAAGTTAATCAACATGTTTAAGCAAGAAAATTGAAGGAATATAAAATCTGTTTACATGTATGACAACCGAGAGAGAAATTGGATGAATTCATAGTAAGATGGTGATTTTTGATGGCATTCGAACTTAGTTATGGACCCAATTTGATAAATAGCCTTTTATTTGGTGTTGCATGTGAACCTTATGGCCAAGATTTCGATTGCATGGCTGGAAATTTCTACTAGAAGTTGCTGGACTGCTTAATCAATTTTCCAGTTTGCCGATGGAGTTGTTTTGGGAGTTGTATGGATATTTTAGTATGAATTTACTGGAAAGTGCTTGATCCTCACTTGGTTGTGTGTTTAGCTAATTAAATACTGGATGATTAAGCCCTGCATGAGATTAATTGGCTGTGTGTAAACCAGAAATTTGAGTGAAACAAAAATCTGCTGCACGCATGTCATCTGCGAATAGTTGAATTAATTCTGGAATTTTGGGATCAATGTTGCTGGTGTCTGACCCCGTTTTGGACTAGAATTGATAATAACTTCATTTAGTAGCTATGCATGTTACCTTTGAGCACATAACTCAGTGATTTGGCCGAGGAAAACCCGGATAAATGATTGACTAAAGCTGCTAGAATTTTTCCAGTGTAGCCGAGTGAAGAAGAAAAGAATTTTCCAGTTTGCTTTTGCGAATTCTGGGTTCTCATTCATGTTTGGATGTCGGATTCCTGCGTTTTGATTGCTAGAATAGAGTTTGATGCTTGCTTAGAGCTTGGTTCCCTCTGTTTGACATGAAACCCAGAAATTTGCCGCTTAAGAAACCAGCGAAAGAAAAGGAGGTTTATGCTAAGAATGTATGAAATGCCGAACCTTTTGCCTAGACTTCTCCAGCCTTTGCATGATTTTTCTTCTATGTTTTTGGTTGGTTTGAATGATAAAATGGTTGTTATGAGGCTTGGATTGGTTTTGAGTGTTTGTGTCTAAACATACTTGAGCTGGAATTGAATCTTGCTAGCCAAAAGTTTCTTGGAGCTGCAAAAGTTGTCGAATGAAAAGTGCAGCAGAAAACAAGAAAATTCTGAATTTTCTTTGTATGTAGCATTGCCGGAACTTGCAGGATTGCATTTTAGTTATGGGCCTTGTTGCTTAGTTTCATGACATTATTTTGATCAAAAATTGTGTTTTCAGAGCAAGCTGCGTTTGAAATTTGTTTTGGCTGCTGAAATCTTAAGGACAAAGTGTCGAAAAAATTTGTTTTTCTTTGTGGATAGCATGAAGTTGCATTAGCTTTCATGTCTTTGATTCATGTAACAGGCCACAAGAACTTGGGTTTTATTCATCCAATTTGCTAGTTAAATCTTGTGCAAAATGATTGACGAAGTTGCATGTTTTGATCCAAAGCATCAAGGAAAGTGGCGGCAAAGCTGCAACTGGAAAATTGCAGCACTTTACTCCTTTCTTTGGTTGATATTTCTTGTATCTCTGGTAGCCACCGATCCAGATTTTCTGTTTTAGTCTTGTAATGAAACTGTCACTCGAATTGGTTGATGATTAGGAGTGATGTTTTGTGGTTGTTGATGTTTGTTTGGTGATGCATTTGGTTAATAATGAAATACAGCATGTCATATAGGAAAGGAAACCAGAATTGCAGAAGGCCTTCTACGTGATTGCATGGTTTTTGCATGAAAATAACTTCAAAAATTGCACTTTGATCCCCTAAGTTCCCCTTTGTTGCACTGTGACCCAATTATGCTTTAATTTCTTGCAATTGAGTCCTAAAGTATTTGCAATCTGAACCATGACTTGACCTTTTCATCATTCTTGAACCTTTAAAGTTCTTAAATGTTCTAATTGGGCTCACATGATTGATTAATGTTTGCAATTGGATCCCTTTTACATGATAATTCGCTTCGGTATGTTTTTACGTGAATTGTGGACAAATTTCAATGGATAATTCCCAATGTCATGAAAGCTTAATAATCTTGGAAGAATTCATAGTCTTGGTTTCATTTGATTCAGTTTTTCTTAGATAATTTTGTTATTTAATCATAATAAATAATTTCTGTGATAGTTTTTCTCTTTTTGTGATTTTTGCATTTGATTGTGATGGATTCCACCGTAAGCATTTCAATTTAGCACTCCACTTTAGATTCTTGAGACCTTTTATTTGAGACCGAGTTTTGCTTGCACGTGCATGATCTATTCCATATTTAATTTTCGTTTCATGCTTAATTTCCACTTTTGTGTTTAATGGTTGTTTCATGTGATTATTCGATAATTAAAGTGGTACCTTGACCTTTTTATTATTTTGGAGGGTAATTTAATAATTTCACTTCATTAGAGCATCGATTCAAGGGAGGTACATTCTATCCCTTATTTGCACTTCATTTGACCCTACGTGCTCCTACGTGTTATGTGAATATGCATGTCTATTTCGCTTTCCTTGCCTTTCCTTAATTCCTTGCATTTATTTCATTTATTTTTAATTTTATTTAAGTTGTTCTTTATGGGGTATGTGTACACCTCTTAGCTTGTAATAGATAGGGCTTGGAGAAGCATTTGATGAAGACCTATTGAAGACGTGTGCCTAGCTAGCAAATGTAATAGATTTATTAGTTTGGTTGCTTACCTTTGTTGCTACATGTTAATTTGCTTTATTAGGCCATTGCATCTAGTCGAGCATGCTAAATGTTATGTGCTATGTGTTTATAAGTGTTTGGCATGTCTACTCGCTTTCCATGGCCATGAATGAATGTGATGGACGAATGTACGTTTCCACTAGTCCAACGCTAGTCGGAATTCATAGAATGGGCTAGTCCAACGCTAGACCCTTAGGGACTTCCCCTCGTTAGTACATGTTTGCATGTTCATTACATGTCATGCATTTTTTTTAGTTTTATCATTTTGCAAGCCCCCTCGAACCCCTTTTCCCTCCATTTTAGGATTTTTGCATTTCATGCTAGTTATAGGGTTCATTTGCTTGAGGGTCCCCTTAAATATGGGATATAGACGAGTGTGGCTTTTTCTAAGCCTTAGCACGCTTGTATTCCCTCTATAAAAGGGCAAATTGAGTCACGATTTAGGTCTCCCCGTACCCAATATGCATGAATTCCCTAAGCTCATGCATTTTCAAATCCACTCTACCATTTTATACCCTCATCACACTTTCATTTTTCCTCCCATTTTGCACACGTGCACCTTTATGTTTCTTCACTTGCACACGAACACTTTTATCATCACTTGCACACATGCACTTCATATTATCATTTCACATACCGTACCTTGCCCACTCACGTGCACATTTTCATTTACATATTTATTGTTTTTTATTACTTTTTCAAACTCATGTCCTCACATTGCATACATGCATTTCATTCATTTGCATCCCACTCGCATTATTCGTGACCTCTCCAAAGGGTCATTATTGGGCTTCACAATTAATGTGATTGACACCATTCAACCTTTGAAGAGAAATTTCCCCCAATACCCCTAGGTCTAGGGTTTGCATTCATATAGTACATCTAAATGTAATAAATTCTTTGGTTAAAACAAGAAAATATTTGATTAAATCACGCAACTAGCCTTGGCTAGGTCGAAGGGGTGCCTTGGATTTTTATCCTTGCCTTCCCCTTCGTCAAATGTGACTCCCGAACCTTTTTCGTTGGTTTACGTGGACTAGGAGTCGTTTAAAAGGGGTTTCTTACTACTTTTTCCTATTTTTCTTTAAAAATTCATTTTTAGGTGACTTGGTACACCTTAACTCATTACCAAGTGGCGACTCCGATTTTTTTATTTCAAAAACCCTTTTTAAACTATAATTTTGGGTCAAATCGTCGCATTCTCAAACCCCCATTTAGACCCATTTTTCTTTTAAATAACAATTCATTTTCCAATCACAAATTGAATCAAAAAAATACATTTTTTAAACCATTTATTTATTTTATCAAAAAATGGGGCGCGACACCCTCTCTCACCACACCATATATAAGGCTACATGTTGCCCTTTTGTATGCCCCTTGTGTCTCCTTGTGTGTCTCCTGTGTAGTATGTCAATCCACCTATTTATAGATAACATTATTTGGCCAAAACCCAAATAACAATAGGAAATCAATTCTAATTCCTAAACTTACATATAATAGGAAATAACTTCCAATCCTAAACTAAATAGAATATTCCTTGGTTACTACTTCAAGTAACTAAAACCAATTAGTAAACTAGTTACTTCCACATAAAACAAAAATTCTACCTAAAAGAAATTAAGCCAATTTTCTAACACATTTATTTTAGATAGGAAAGTCTATCCAATACTTGTCCACCTTTCTTGGCGGGCTTTTAATTGCCTTTGCTAGAGGATGGCTTCTTTCTCTGTCCTTGGTTTCAATGATTCCTTCTCTTCTCATTGTTGGAGGGGTTACAGTGATTATTCTTACCAAAATGTCCATTAACACTCAAGTTGCTTATTCTGAAGCCAGAGGTGTGGTGGAAGAGACTATTGGAGCAATTAAAACCTTATGTTACTTGATATTCTTCCATTTTAGTTCTTTGAAATGATCTTGAATTAGGTTGTTATCCTAGAGAAGAAGATTGACATTATTATTTTCAAATTCTTGCACAAGGTTTCATCCTTAACAGCAGAAAATGAAGCCATCACTAAGTATGCCAAGAAACTAGAAAAAGTCAACGTGTTTTCTGCCAGACAAGGATTGGTCTCAAGGCTAGGATTAGGAACAGTGTCTTTTATTCTTTTTGGTGGTTATGGACTAACCATTTGGTATGGATCTAAATTAATCCTGGCGAAAGGTTACACAGGTGGATAGGTTATCAGCCTTATAGTTGCACTGGTATATGGTGGAATGGAATTTGAGCATTATTCTTATGGTAAAATTTCATTAGTTTTACATGCAAATTCCAATCAATTTTTTAGGTAGGATTTTTTTGTCACAAATTACTCCTATCTAATCAGTGAAAATAAACATTCTACCTGCAAGAGAGAGGTTTGCAATTTATCTAACAGTCTAACAGTATCTACTGTTTCCATTGGACATTATAACCTCCCTAACAAGTTTTTCTGACTTCTTGCACTAGGGCATTGTTACAATCTTCGTCGTGTTTAAACGCATTATCATCAGGAAAAGCTGCTGAAAGTAACATGTTCAAGACAATCAAAAGAAAGCCAAAAATCAATGCTATTGATTCGACTGGGATTGTACTGGAAAACATCAAGGGTGAAATTCATCTAAAAGATGTCTACTTCAGATATCCTGCAAGGCAAGCTATGGAAGTATTCTCTGGTCTATGTTTACACATCTCAAGTGGTAAGCATGTAGCCTTAGTTGGGAAAAACGGATGTGGGAAGTCAACAGTGATTAGTTTACTAGAAAGGTTTTACGATCCAGAAGCTGGTGAAGTACTAATAGACGGTGTCAGTGTTAAGAGATTACAGCTCAAGTGGCTAAGGGAAAAGATAGGCTTAGTCAGTCAGGAACTAGTATTATTTGCCACAACAATAACAGAGAACATAGCATATGCAAAGGAAAATGCCATAGAAGATGAAATCAACAAAGCCCTTTAGCCTTCTTCTGCTGCAGCCTTCATCAAAGACTTACCACTGGTGAACACTTTTGTTTCTTTATTCCTCCCTTAATTTTTTGTAAATACATGATGAGTGAACAAGCTTCTGTTGGTGTAAAGATTACAAAATAATACAAAAAAGATTTGACTAGATCCTTCTTAATGCTGATATAAGTTACTGGATATTTGATTTTATATCACTGGACATGGAAATATATCAAGTAAGATTTTTATCAGGGTCTAGACACCATGGTAGGCAACCTTGGAGCTCAACTCTCTGGTGGACAAAAGCAGAGAATTGCTATTGCTAGGATAATTCTAAAGGACCCTACAATTTTCCTTCTCGATGAAATAACGAGTGCATTGGACACAAAAACTGAAAAAGCAATCTATGATGAAATCTTCAAGATTGCATCAAGACAAACAGCAATAATCGTTACTCACAGTTTATCAAGTGTTGAAAACGTTGACAGTATTGCAGTTATGCATCAGGGAAAAATTGTGGAGCAAGGTAACTATGTCATTGTGACATGTCAAAATATTTATCCGATAACATTACTAACTCTTTCATGTCTTCTATTTAGGAACTCATGCTGAATTAATCAGAAATCAAGATGGGCACTATTCCAAACTAGTTAGCTCACAAGGGAAAAATCAAGTTGAGAATTCCAAATGGATGAATGGAGAAACAAGAAAGTACATCACTAAGACAATGAAAAATTTTGAGGGTCTGTTGTCATCCACTGAGAGTATTACGAGAGAAAGTTTATCAAGTAATAGGGTGTTAATTGTTAGTAATTTTATTGTTAATTTTCCTTTTTGTCCTTACCAAATATTGTTATAATTGTTAACATATGCTTATATTTGGTATTTGGACCTATCTACAGGAAATGGAACTGAAAAGTACTAAAAAGGGGGACCTTTTTGAGACAATTGCTCTACATGTGGGAGGCTACTAAAAGCTCCACAAACCTAGCCCACATGGAGAGAAGAAACGGATTTCCTATGCTTTTACTGATAAAGAGTTGCATTGTACTAGGAAGTTGATTAGCAATAGGAAACATGATAGAGGGAACTTGAGTAGGCTGGACCCTTTATTTTTATTTGGTTTTGCTCCTTATCCGGGGGACCACGTAGAGAGGCGTTGGTCATTGTTTAGAGATAGGATAGTTTTTCTTCCATTTTCCTTGAATGCGCGACTTTTGGTTCGACAAAAGTCCCAACTGGAGAAGCATCTCTTACTTCTTGATTATTTAGTGAAAAACGTGATGCCTTGCGAATCAAGTAATTAGCGTGGAGATTTACTTATGCGGCGTGACTAAGCTTTTCATCTAGTCAAGGAACAACGTGACGATGCATTCCCGAATATCTGTGAGATCGAACTAGTTTTTATGCATTCCTTAATTTGTTAATATTTGCGCGTTTTCTATTTGAACTTCCATGGGATTATTTTGTTAATTGAATGTCAAGTCCTTGATATTCAAGGTGACTTATTAATCTCCTGCCAAATTCGTAATTGTTTAATCAATTAATATCAGTGGCAACTAGCGTTTTTACACACTAGGGGAACGTGCAATCTGATTTAAATAACTCTCGTAGCGTGTTATTGATTGAAGTTAGGTTTTTCTAATTCTTAAGGCAATTGAAAAATTAATTCCTACAGTCGTACCTAGGAGTATTTTCTGATTAGGGATAATTAATGGTCGTACCTTGGTTACCAATAAACTAAGGAAAAATTAGTCGTTAGAGCTCGTCGGCGACTATAATTAACCTATTAATAAATTAAGTGAACCTCCCCTGCATCAATGATCGGATGAATGGACTGTGTCTGAGTAGTGGTATCCTTGGCTAGAATTTATTTATTCTTGATTTAATTCCTGTCTAAATTCGTGCTAGTTAATTATTTATTTTTAGTTGAATTGCGTAATTATTTTTATCTTCACTCCGATAAAGCCCCCCATTATTAATTAGAACTTCAAAGAGACAAATATCCCCAGTCCCTGAGGAGATGACCCTGCTTGCCACTGTCTACTTGTTAGTAAAGTCGGTCAACTAATTAATTCTGGTATATCAGATTAAACAAAATTTTCGAGAACAGGGTGAATCAAGTAACGTATTGCACACCTAGAGTCCCTGCTCCAGTACCTAGAATTGATTATTGACAGTTTTTAGTAGTAGTTAGGTATTTTTATTTTTATTGCATAGGTTCGGCACCTGTCAATTTTTGGCGCTGTTGCTGGGGATTGGTGTTAATTATTTGTATCCTTTTAAGTTCATTTTTGTTTTAATTTTCTGGTACTTTTCTAGTTTATGCCTCGTTCTTTTCGCACAAGCGAATTAATTTTCGACCCTGAAGTACAGAAGACCACATGTAGAATGAGGAAAAAGATTAGATAGCTCAGGGAGGAGTAGTCCAGTATTGCGCCTCAGGGACTTGATCCAGAGGTTGAATCAAAAAATTTGCGTGGTGATTATTCGAGTGATTCAGACCAAGAGAAAGTCACCATGGCGAATGCCTAAACACTAAGGGAGTTGGCTGCCCCAGATTTAAATCAGCAACCCTTATGCATTACTTTTCCGTATTTAAATAATAACACATCTTTTGAGTTAAAATTTGACCTAATTCATATTTTACCATATTTTCATAGCTTACCAGGTGAGGAGCCATACAAGCACTTGCAAAAGTTTGATATCGTTTGCAACAGTATGAAACCCCCGGAAATTACAGAAGAGCAGATAAAAATGAGGGTCTTCCCCTTCTCTTTGAAGGACCCGCGAAAGACTGGTTGTACTACTTACCACCAGGTAGTATCACCATGTGGGACCAACTGAAGAAAAATTTTTTGAACAAGTACTTTCCGGCGTCTCAAGCTGCAAGTCTAAGGAAGGAGATATGCGGTATCAAACAACACCCAGGCGGGTCCCTCTATGAGTACTGGGAGAGGTTTAAAAAGCTGTGCATCAAATGCCCTCAGCATCAGATAAGTTAGCAACTGCTCATCCAATATTTCTATGAGGGGCTACTTTTCAGAGACAGAAATATAATTGATGCTGCAAGTGGAGGGGCATTGATGAACAAGGCTCCTCGAGAATCATGGGAGTTGATTGAAGAGATGACTGAGAATTCATAGCAGTTTGGTTCAAGAGAGGACATCCCGAAACGTAAGGTGAATGAGGTAGAAATATCCTCTATCCAACAGCAACTCTCTGAATTGACGTCTTTCATGCGACAACTAACTGTGGGAAGTGCCTCACAAGCCAAAGTATGTGGAGTATGCACTGCTTTGTGTCACTCTATGGAGATGTGTCCGCTAGTTCAAGAAGAAAGTGCGGAGCAAGTGAACATGGCTGGTCACGTGCTCGCGCCAAGACAGTCATACGACCTATACTCGAATACGTACAATCCGAGTTGGAGAGATCATTCTAACTTCAGTTATGGAGGAAATAGGCAGTCGAATTTTGCGCCAAATAGACAGCAAGGGTACCAACAACAGTATCAATCTCGCCCGCCACCATCCCCTTCAAACTCAAGCCCGTCTATGGAAGAGATGATGAAACAATTAATTGCTAATCAACAAAAGACAGATTCTGACCTACAAAGTATGAGGAATCAACTAGGACAGGTGCAAGCGATGCAGAGTCAGATGGTAATAGCAATCAACCGTATGGAATCCCAAGTTTATGAAAAATTGCCGTCTCAACCTGAATTGAATATGAAGAATGTAAGTGCAATGACCTTAAGGAGCGGGAAGGAAATTCAGGGACTTGAACTCGTGATTCCGAAGGATAAAAATGAGGAACGAATTGAGACAGAGCTTGAAGTGGAGGGCAGAAGCAACAATGATTCAAAGGTACTTTCGGACCCATTCATTACAATTAAGACTAACCCATCGCCTTTTCCTAGTAGGTTGGAGAAACCGAAGAAGCAAGATAAGGAAGAGAAAATTCTAGAGGTGTTTTGAAAGGTAACAATCAATATTCCTTTGTTGGACGTGATCAAACAAGTGTCAAAATACGCTAAATGCTTGAAAAACTTGTGCGTCAACAAGAAGAAGTTGAGGGGGGATGAGCATATTGTGGTAGGTGAGAATGTTTCAGCGATTTTACAAAGGAAACTGCCACCTAAATGTGGAGATCCAGGTATATTTACTTTCTCTTGTAAGATTGGACATTCTAAGATTAAAAATGCCATGCTAGATTTAGGGGATTCAATTAATGTGATGCCTAAATCAATCTATGATTCCCTAAATTTAGGACCTTTAAAAGAAATAGGGATAATAATTTAATTGGCTGATCATACATTTGCTTATCCGGATGGAGTAGTTGAGGGCGTTTTAGTGCAAGTAGATGGATTAATTTTTTCTGTTGATTTTTATGTGCTTTACATGGATGATGAAAGCGCCCCAAATCCATCACCTATTATATTAAGAAGGCCATTCTTGAGTACTGCCCAAACTAAGATTGATGTTAGTAAGGGTACTCTCACAATGGAATTTGAGGGAGAAATAGTCCACTTTAATATTTTTAATACAATGAAACATCCTACTAACTCTCACTCTGTGTTCGCTATTCATGTTACTAATCCCTCTGTGCAAGAATTTTCTGAGTTTGGTTGTAGGAGTAAATTCAATATTTTTGCGAACAAGTATCAGGGGATGAAAGTAATTTATGAGGTGAAAAGGAGTAGGAAATTAAGAAAGAAGGCTGCACTCAATGACTATTTGGATTCTGGAGAAAGACCACAAATTACAAGGAAAATTGAATTACATCCAGATTGAAGAGTGGTGTTCAACGTCTAGTCAAAGACGTTAAAGAGAGGTGCTTTTTAGGAGACAACCCAAATATTGGTATTGTTGTTTTTGTTGTTCAATTCTTTAAATATATCGTTTCTCACTTGGGTACTGATTAATCTTGATATTTTCCTTCATTGTGACCGGGACAGGGAATCTTTGCGTGCCCACACGAGGAGGGCACGCAAAAGTGACTCCCAAGGTCAGTGGACGTTTACCAATCTCGGCGTGCCCATGCGGTGTTTGACGACCCAAAACTGAAAAAAAAAATTTAGAAAAATAAAATTATTTTCTTTTTAAACCTTCAGTATTGTTTTTTTTTAAAAAATTCAAATTTTAAAATTTTAGTTAAAAAAAACTATTTTTTTTCTTTTTCTTTCTTTCTTTTTTTTTCTTTCTTCCCCTTTTCTTTCTTTGTTCTTCTCCATTTCCCTTTTCCCTTTCCTTTGTCCGCCGCCCCTTCCCAAGCCACACCACAAACCTCCATCTTCATTGCTCGAATCTCCCTTCTCCCCTCTCCCCTCCTAGTGCCGCATCTCCTCCACCCACGGATGCCCACCACCCGCGAGCCGCCACCGTCACTTTCTCTTTCTCGCTTGGGCCATAGGACCATCCTTGGTGGCACCCGCACCTCTGACGCGTGACTGCCACCCATCCATGCCATCCTCGTACTTCAGAGACATTCAGTTTTTACTCCTCTCAAATCTTCCCTTTGTATTTAGAGCATCACTTTTGGAATTTGTGTGTTGAATTCACTTGCGATTCCTCTGCTGCATTTTTGCCTAATTAATTCGATCATTGCCTTCTGTGGGTCTGTGTTGAGATTTGGTTGGCTCCAGTGTGCCTCTGATTGCTTGCTTGTGACTCACTGGCTTTTATTACGTTGATTGTCGCCATAGATTTAGTTGATTTTTAAGTTGATTGTGACTCGCTGGCTGAGAGCAACCTGCGGGTGCTTTGAAATTGCTGCATTGTTGGGACATTTGTCTAGACCTTGGGTGCCTAATGTGGCTTTATTTGTTGATTGAGTTGGCCGTTTGAGTTGCTTCATTATCTGTGAGGTGCACCAGTGGTACTAGTTGGGGTATTTTGACTACATTTGTTGATTCTATTTCATTGGCTGCCTGATTGAAAGCTAAAAACCTTGTGATTAAGTTGTTGTCCAAATTTTCAACTGCTGTTACTAGAATTGTTGGTTTCTTGGGACATTTGCTAATTTCAGTTGGATGAGTTGTGTAATTGACTGTCCAATTGGAGACATTTGTTGAGATTTTGTGGTGGGCAAGTTTTGTCAGCGTTTATGCAGAATTTGGTAGCGTTTATACACCACACGGGTCTTACACCTCAATTTCCACCTCACCCACCGCTGTGACCCCAACACGGTCCCATGATTTCAGGGAAGTTCCGTTGCTCTTCTTCTTGCTTTTTCTGTTTATTTGCTACATTGAGGGCAATGTGCGATTTAGGTGTAGGGGGGATTCGACTGGTGTCTCTTTAGTTTTCTGCTTTTGGTACTGCTTATCTTAGTGATCAACAATTGCCTGGCAAACTCATTCTTTTATTGCTAGATGTGTTTTATTCTATAAATTTAGCTTCGGTGGCAAGTAAGAGCATATTGTCTTGGTGAACACTGTGAGTTCAATGACTTTGTGCGAATGGTGGCTAACTTGTTTAGGCAATATAAACATTTTGCTGGCAACTGTTGTGTGGATTGGTCCCCTGTTGACCTTAGTTCTCCATGTTTCGGAAATGAAGTAGGCTATGATCTTTAATTGTCCAATATTTTGGTGTTTTGTTGTGAATAACATATGGCTATACTCCGCTAGTATTGTCACCCAATAACCGGGAGTCTTCACCACAAGTATTGACTCTCGCATCAAAACAGTGGCGATATCTATGAGTAGGTGGTCCTGAAACGGTGAAAGTTGACTAACTGAGCTCTTTCATCTAAAAATATCAGAGTTCACGTCAAAAGACTTGAATGGTTTGGGACTAAGCATTTATTCGTTCAAAAAAGAAGAAAAACAAAGAAAACAAAAAAAAAAGAAAGGAAGAAAAGAAAAAGAACAGATGTGAAAAATATGTAAACTTATGATCATGTTGGCCAACCGATCCTTGTTCTTCAATGTTGAGATTTTGGTGGCCAATTGGACCAATTGCTGACTATTGCTAGCTTGATATTTTGATTTCCTTGATGAGTTAGCCATGAATTGGACGAGTCTATGATTTCATGAGCTAACCAGGAGGATTATGTCGTGACACTTGGTCACTGAATCTTGATTTTAGTATAAACACAGCTTGGCAATAGATGACGTGAGAGTTGACCATTGTTGGGTCTAGTTGTTCTCATGCTTGAGGGCAAGCATGATTTGGGTGTGGGGTGAATTAATAGGGTGTGAATTGTTAGTAATTTTATTGTTAATTTTCCTTTTTGTCCTTACCAAATATTGTTATAATTGTTAACATATACTTATATTTGGTCTTTGGACCTATCTACAAGAAGTGGAACTGAAAAGTACTAAAAAGGGGGACCTTCTTGAGACAATTGCTCCACATGTGGGAGGCTTATAGCGAGTCCATCCTTTCTATTTTATATGCTTATTCTGTGCTATACTTTTAAGGACATAATAGAAAAACCCAAATTTGAATTTAATACAAAGAGTACTTATGGAATAGCAATATATTCAAAGATTTATAATTGTGCCTAAAATAAGTACTAGAGGAAAAGGTAAAATAGCAAAGAGTTTTTTTTTGGTTCCCCTTATCAAGATCTGGCATAAAGAGTGACTTCTAATACGTCGTTGATAGCACAAACAATCACTCATCATTCTCTTTCATATTTAAAAATAGATTAATTTTCTATACATTAATAATGTATACAGTATTAAATCTGAATGGATACTATTTGTTTCAAATTTTGAATTTTAAATTTTAATTAATATTAGTTGTCATGCATTCGAATCTAATAGCATATACAGTGTATACAAGATTAATTCTTAAACAATTATACATATTGTGGTGAATGAAAGTTGGGGGAGGCGATGAAGAGGGGACACCATATCAACAGTGTACATAAGTTTCAAAGAGAAAAATCATAGAGGGACTAA